ACCATTTCGATTCTGAATGGAAGTCGAATGTGGGGCGCATACCTCAGGCGGGATTGACCAACGCGCAGAGACCTTATTCTCTATAATTTACTGCAACAAACATTTCAGAATGATGGCATCAGACTCAGAAATCTGACCGCGAAATGTGGATATTGAACTTGAGCCACGTGATATTTGTCTATACAACAACGCTACTATCACTGACATTCAACTCTGTACTTATTTTCTTTATTCACAAACATTCGTTTACCGGAATAGGCGCTTTCAAGGCTATACTGTTTGCGGTTGCTGGGTTCAACATTATGTATTCTATAACGATGGCTGTAGTCATGCCGGTTTGTTGCATTTCCGATATTGAATAGTTCATGCATGATCTCCAGTGCAGCCAGTGGCAACATATTAGTTCTAATCAAAGCTTCGAAGGAAAATGTGAAAGTGTAGTTCATCAGCTCGGTCTCGCATCCATCAATCGATAAATCCCTTCAACGTCGTTAATGGTTTATACAGAAGGAATGTCTACATTCTTTCTTTAACTAAAATTTTTGCTCCTAACTTCAGTGTTTTCAGGTTATGCCTCATGACGTTTGAAATGTTTTCATTTTCGCTATGACTACAACTTGTTTGACTTGATGCTCTGTCAACTCCTGTTATTTTGCCGCAGTACGCGTTCTGAAAGTCTCACAATGTTCTCGAGCTACGGACAGAACTTTAGCTTCGGACTGGACTCGAACCCGCACTTGTGTTGTCAGCGCACTGTGCCCTTATCCATTACACCACCCAGACCACGCATTCTTAATGGTTTTTATGCCATGGCTTATCAGCACTCACACGTGCAACGTGGTGAGCCGGTCAGCCAGAATCAGCGTTGAGCTGAAAGATTCTAGTGTTATAAATTGTTTTGAGTTGATGTTTGACTAACACTTCTCGGTAGTGTGAGTGATACTTTGAGCATTGTGCCCACATTGCACAAGGACGGGTTCGAGTGACGTTCGAGACCGAATTTGTAGGGTCGAACTCACCAACTCTGTGGGGGTTATGGTTACAGTTGAAATCCGTGTAAGTGCGATCGGAACTCTAACTGGCAAAAATTAAATAACGGATACCTAATCGAAACCTAGTTCTCTACCGAGAAACATCAACCAAAAATTGCCTCGACCCCTTCTACATATTTAGCAGTTGCTCAGCAAGTCGCATCGTTTTCTTCTACACGTATGGTTTCTCCGCCATAATTCGATGACTACGCGCTAAGTGGTGGGGGTTTGACTTGAATATATAATCACGAACGAATTGAAATTTTAGATGGAATATGGAGAATAATCCGTTAGCTAGGGAAGGTACCATATATAGTTTCATATCTTTCTAAAAAATAAAAACATCGAAGTAGTGCCGTTAATCTCACCGGTTGCCCTGTTATGAGGTCTTGACCTTATAAAGAATAACAATAAAAATAACAATAAAATAAACGACAAAATAATAACATAACGAGAAGAAAAATTTCAGTCGAAATATATGAAGAAATGTAAAGCNTAGATGGAATATGGAGAATAATCCGTTAGCTAGGGAAGGTACCATATATAGTTTCATATCTTTCTAAAAAATAAAAACATCGAAGTAGTGCCATTAATCTCACTGGTTGCCCTGTTATGAGGGCTTGACCCTATAAAGAATAACAATAAAAATAACAATAAAATAAACGACAAAATAATTACATAACGAGAAAAAAATTTCACTTGAAATATATGAAGAAATGTAAAGCGTGTTACTTATTACGACAATTACAAAACAGCTTATTATACAGAAAAGTCCATGGCCAAGTTCGGGATGTATTCTAAAACCATTCGAATGAAAAGGAATTGTACGACTTAGTGCTTTTCTGACTGCTATTTTCGGTAAGCAGCAAAATGCGAGAGTCAGGCTACTAGGTTTCTATAAGTTCCCCATCGCAAGCTGCGTCAAAGGCAGAACCCAGTCAAAGCCATCAGTTTAAATAAAGTGGTATTAAAGAGCTCTGAACCACACAGTTTATGTCCGGCATCAGCTGATTGACTTATCACTTAGTATGCGTGAGCTCTGATGTGCTAATGCTGCAGTGCCATTCAAAACTGAGGACAGACAGGGCTTCTGTCATGGAGCGGTAAGCCGCAGTTCACGATAAAAATGGGTTTCTAAATTTTCCTTCGGGATTGCTTATGATTTGTTTGTACGTTGAAGCGTAGTTCTTTTCCGTACACGGATCTAACCCTCGAAGGTACAGTTGTGCTATCAAACCGTTCAACGTGTCCTCCAATGCCCGCCATTGTACAGGTTTCTGTGAAGAGTTTCGGATGTCCAAAGTCGTGTGCTAATTTCTCCTCAATCATGTTTTTGTGAGCCTCAGTATCAAACAAGAAGAGCACTTTCTCGAACTTTTTGTTTTTGTTATTCCAAAAATTGCCCTCTGCTGTCATAAGAATCAGTTGTTCATTTTTACTCGTGTCGATCTTTGAGCGGTTGTAATCCTGCTAGGTTTGAATGACCTGTGTGTTGGTCTGTTGGGTTCTCCTATCATCGTTGCAATAACGACTGCTAAGCCTGCTATCAGATTCTGTGGTCTGCTGCCATAGCTTTGCTGATTGGTCTCATTTCCTGCCGGCCAGGGATTTGCCGGTGGGGCTCTCATGCGGAATGGTCTGCTTGCCAGACATATGCTTTGATGTTGTTTCTAGCCGCACCAGGGACAATTAGGCTTGTTGCATTGATTGCTTGGGTGATTACTGTTGAAACATTTCCAACAGAGACGGTTTTCCTTGGCGATAACGCGTCTCCTTTGAATGTCGGTGACGGTTCTGCACAGTGCGGAATGGTGATTGTTGCGTCCGCAACGGGCGCAGGTTTGAGGAAACCTTAGGCCATGATCATCAGTAGACCTACTTCCCCTGGTTCGTTCGCTGTTGGAACCCCAGTGTGCCCCGACAAAGAGTTCGGAGGATATTTCTCTTTCTAACAGCGTTACGAGATTCCCAATTGTGATATTTTTCCTGATATTTCGCTAGGACGTACTTTATTACTGTGTTAGGGAACTTTTCAATGGTTGTTTCAGTCCACATTGGATCTCTAGTGGCTCTGATGTCATAGTCAGTTGAAACCATTTGGTACAAGTGCTTTGATCGAGTCCAAGCAATCATCACAGCTTTTTGCATTTTGTGCGGCAGGTTTCAAGTCGAAGAGTTTCAGCACTATTTTTGACCTGTTGACCGGTCGGTTGCCGAATTTATCTTTAAGAGTCTGCACGATCCAGTCGCAATTCTTTGCTATCGGCTGTATCCCTTTGATGGCTCTTTCGGCCTTCCCTCTCAAGCTGTCTTTGAGTAGAACAGTTTTCTCGATTGTGCCTAGGTCATTGCTTGAGTGAATGAGGGATTCATAATTTGCCCAGTGCTCTGGAAGTTCCTCTTCGCTACCATAAAATTTTGGTAAGCTCATATTGGGCGGTTTGACTGACAATGACCGCACCCTTGAGGTGCTCTCAGGATTGGGTCCTCCGAATTTTCTTGAGACCAACTTGCCTGGTTGTTACTATGAGTTGATGGTCCTTTACTGTCATTATTAGCTAAAGGTAATTTTAGTTTCCTCTGGGCTTTTGCTATATTTACTTTGGCCTCAGTTAACCGAGCTTCCGGTATATGAATGAAAGCCTCGGCACTCGCCAAATGTGAATATTCAGATTCTCTTTCAATTTTCTGAACCTCCATAATGAGTTCTTTTTGGTTAGTCTTTTTTGCAATAGCATAATGATTCTCTATTTTGTCGACTCTCTCTTGAATAGTTTCGACAGCGGTTCTTATACGACTACGTGCTGACGATGAAAGGGTAACATTCGCCAAAGCCTTTTCGTAAAGTTCCTACTCGTTTTCCGGATACTCTAGATTTGCCGGATTTGCTCCGTATTTTTGTAACAGAGTGGCTAGAGCTGTAATAATTGTTGTTGGTAGCAATAATTGATTCTTGTGAAAGTAGAGTGCCATGCCGATACCTCTACTTCTTTCCTTTACTTACTTCGCACTGTTGAGCGGTTGTTTTGTTAGGTATAATGTGCATGCTGTGATTTAGCAAGCAAAACTACGCTGCTTTCGAGCGATTCTCCTTCAAAAAAGTACGAGACAAGCTAAGACCGGTGGAATTAGCAAGTAATTCGCTGCTTTCTAGCAATCAAGTGAGATATGCCCGTTAAATTCGACTAGGGATTCAACAAACAACAACGCAATAACGCTGTTCCTCGCAAAGCTATTGTTTGCGGTTTTTTGGGCTGACTGAGTCCCAAGGATGGGCGATTTGCTAACCTTATAACGGCTTTAGCCGATGCACCAAGCAATGTGGTGTTTGGGCGGAAGGGTGACGCCTTTTATATATTCAGAGAGATTGTTATCTCCTCATAAACGAACAAATGAGGTGGTTCAGTGATAGATTTATTTGGAACGAACGCAGAACACCCTGGTTGCGGGTGATGTACAAGAGAGGACCCTGTAGCGGGGATAACAGAGAAAAGAATGCCTACTTAAGCCCCGCCCTGAAGGAGCGGTGGTGACCGTGGGCCCTGGCCAATGCCAAAACAAAATTTGCCGGAACGGAGTCGATACGTCAGGTCATTGCCTCCAAGGGACGAGTGACCTAGCTCACCTATTTCGTAACCGTAGGCTATGCCCTCGTTAGCCTGCGCAAAACAACGCTTTTCTGGTCTCGTTCTCGTCCAGCCCTCTTTTTACCCCTTTTTACCGATTTTTTCAAAGCCTTTTGTCACTTTGGCAACACCGATTTGCGCGCTTCCTTCGCACCATTTTCCACCTTCTCTTTAATTTTTTGTCATAATCTGTATAACCCAAGAATATCGTGATCTGTGCCTTCAAAGGGAATGAGGAACGGCAAGCACAAGTACGGGCTCGAGCCCCACGGGGTTTTTTCTTTCACTTACAAACCAACGATGTATAATAGAATCCAAAATAAACAATGATCTGAGGTGAACAATGATTCATAAAACTTGGTCGTTCATACATTACGATCACTTGCAATTTGCTGCGGAGAATCGTGAAAGAGAGGTTATGCAAAATTTCCAGCACGTGGGCTCATCCGTTGCTACTGGCGGCAACATGATAGATGAGCTGTTCTATCGTTGATCATTAGTTCAATGTAGAAGTTATAGGTCATCCATGTTTACGATTTATCCTTCTTCCTCTTCACTACCGGTCTCGGATCGATCCCAGAAGGTGCCAGTCGTTTATTAGCTGCTGTATTTTGCTCTTTATTCGCCCAATCGCTTTGTTTACTCGCTCTACAATTTGTTTATCGTTACGTACAGGTTGTCAGGTGAGTACTTATGAGAATGAAAGTAAAAAATGATAGCTGACCGTGCCACTCACTTGCTGTCATGCTCCTACAATGAACACGTGTGGCCTACCGACGTTCATAAGGAATTTCAACTTTAGCCAATAGTGCTGACACTAAGAACTAAGTCCGGAGCATTCACGGAAAGTAAAAGTAGGAGAAGCCTACTGCTGATGTACACGTCCACAAGAGTGTTTTCGTTTCACAACCAGCCAGCGAGACATAACGCCAAACACCGTCCTATCAGCATCGAACCAGAGGAGCTTAGTGTTTTTGGTATGCTCACAAGGGGTAATGCCTTATTGTCCTGAGTGTGTGACCCGCAGCGTTATATCAAACAGATGTTTTATTTCAGACCTTCTGCTCGATTCCTGTTTGACGAGAAAAGCTACCTCCCGATTGCTTTGTACGTCATCACCGCTTTTGATTATGGTGCTGTTTGTTTCTTCAACTTTGCTCCATCTCCAGTGAAAGACGTCTATTTTTCTGAGCAGATGTGGTATTCATACCAATTGAACGTCACCGATATTGGCTATCTTGGACCGATATATGTGGTGAGGATCGTCCATACACCTACAGAACTTATTTAGTTTCATATTTTTGTAAGGCTGTCGAGCTGTTTGGCAAACTTTTCAAGGGATGAAATGTATAGGGAAACCAGTGGCTATATGTGAAAGAAGGAACAGTAAATGACGACTTAAGAAATGTGGACCAAAAGGCTTATCACTCTTATCCCTAGCTTTGATCCCGCTTCGTTGCAGAGCCTGCTGTTCTTGTAAGCCGTCTCCGATACCTTATATCCATGGCATATTTTGCCGTTACCTTTGCATTGGCAAGATACTTTTTGGTCACCTACGACCGACTTTCTTTTGAAGCTCCTCGTGGTCACTTCCCTCGAGCCTTATTCCACTCTTAAGTCTGTTCGGTGCGGGCCGGCACCATCGCAAACGCTTCACCTTCAGCTTGACAGGGGCTAATCAGATCACCGCCCTAACATATTCGTTTCTGGTCCGGTTCAGTAGTCGGCAGGCCCATCTGAACATTCCCATTTCAGCTGTCTTTCAAGACTAATAACTCCCTAATAGTCGCTGCGTAGAGCACCGCGAGCTTCATCACTATACAGTACAGTTTTTTTTTCGAGAATCCCGGAGCACTGTCACCGTCAGTCGCAAGAGATACCGGGGGACTGCCTCCACTTCATTCGTGGCGCGTTTATTCGGGTTTCACAGCTTGGTCGGTGCTACCATCAGTCACTAGGTCACTTCCAAGATATCGCAATTATTGTGCTTTCCCAACGACTTTAGGTAAAACTGTACGAACGGGTCCGTGCACACCTCTGATCCGTGAAACATAGACTTAAAGGCACCGTTCACGATAAAAAACTTATTGAGTTCTTACCTTATTAATACTCAGCGGCCCCCATGGGTTGTAGAAGGGACCCTCTCACTCCCCCAATCTCGACGTCCAGGGCGTAGTGGCAGCTCCGTTGTTGCCGTAGTTCGCGTGCCCGCCCCTCGATCGGTGTCACGTTAGACGAGTGTCGAGACAATACAGATTGCTATTATTCGTTCTAGGACCCACGCACAATCAGCTAATCGCCGAGTGATGAGGCGATGTTTTTCTCCCATTCTTTTCTCCTCTGTTTTTCTTTTTGCTGCCGCAATCCCTTATTTAATTTCCTACTCCTAGATGCTGAAACATGAGCTACTTTTGCTGTTACTGGGTTTTTTTTTTAATATTGACATTTAGTTTTTTGTTTTTTGTTTATTTATGCTTATAAGTGAATGAATTTTTGCTTACCATTGCTGTTCTT